TAAATAGACATGTTTCATAACTTCCTCCTAAATACTCATATTTAAACACATACATTAGTGCTGCTCTCAACCTTGGCCGGAGAAGATTCCTCTACAGTGGTCAGCAGTTAATACAGAGACTCATAACTGGTCAAAGTGTTAAAAATCAGTGACTATTGATTACTCAGCCCTAAATGGGACATCTGTATCAAACATTGCCCCACTAGCAAGGATAAAGGAACAGAAAGAATATAAGAACTGGAGGCTTAGGAGGCTAGTAAATGCTGTTTTCTGGACATGATATGGCCACTGCACTCATGAACTCACTGCAGCTGTGTTTACCTGCCCAAGATCAAGTCAACAAGATTAGCCAACATTCCAGCAGGCAGCACTGACTGGAGTCAGTGGATAATATAAGAAAGAAAGGGAAGGAAGGAAGGAAGGAAGGAAGGAAGGAAGGAAGACTAGAGAGATGGCTCAGAGATTAAGAGCACTTGCTGCTCTTGCAGAAAACCTGGGTTCAGTTCCCGGCACACACATGGTGACTCACAACCATCCTTAAATCCAGTTCCAGGGGATCCAATGCCCTCTTCTAGCCTTTGAGAGCACTGCACACATGGTACAGGCAAAATACTCATACACATCAAATAATTTGTTTTTAAATAAAAAAAAGAAGAGGACATCAAGTGGGGAGGGGGATGCAAGTAAAAAATTTGAGATGATTATGATCAAGATACATTGTTAAAATGTATGAAATTGTCAAAGAATTAATAAAAGATATTTTATTTGAAAAAAAAAAAAAACGAAATGCAGCCCTCTAGAGCCTTTATTCTACCCCAGTCATATCTAACATACTAAGCTATGTCTAACACAGCAAGATCACCTTAAAATCTTCAGGCCAGAAGCACTGTGTTTACCACAGCGTAACTGTGAAGTCACATTTGTGTCATTATGGCAAACACCGTCACCCTTAATTTGCATCTTCAACACCTAACATCTAAAGAAAACTCCTACTGGAAATGATCCAAATCACACTGAAACTGCGAAATCCTCAGTACTGATGGCAAATATCCTTAAACAGCTTTGATGCTGTGTGTCACTTACAAGCAAGTCTCCCAAGTTCAATTTGAGAGAGCCACAAAGCAGGGCCACTGGTGCTGGCCTGTCCTCCAAGCTACTTAGGGTGCTATGCAGGAAGATCACAAGTTCAAAGCCTGACTGAGCTACACAGTGAGGTCAAGGCATGCCTGTGCATGTTAGTGACACTCTTGTCTCAGAAGTCAAAGTGAAAAGAGGGAACACAGCTTGCCTAGAATGCACAATGCCTTTGGTTCACTCTTCAGTGCTGCAAACCAACAACAACAAATCAATGAATAAAGTAAGATGTAACACCATGACAATTCTAATAACTCCCAGAACTAGAATGACAGTGTGTAATTAGCACTAAAGGGATGCTAGCATGGGACTCTTGGTCCAACTGCTAAAAGGAAATAAAGGAAGGAAGATGGTCTTTGCAACCAGATTGAACCAGACTTAAAAGTGCCCTTGTGGTTTGTTAACTCTGACCAAAGAACTTAATAAGGAGTCAAATTCATAAAAATCAGTTTCCTCACCTGTTAAAAAGAAGTGAACAATATTGACCTCCCAGGTCTACTGAAAACATCATTTTATTAATAGTCAATAATAATATCAAACATCAATGTGGCATTTGTATGTTACATACCAGGCCATATTAAGTACTTAGGATAAATTAACCTATTTTAATCTTCCTAGAGGGGCTGGAGAGGCGGCTCAGTGGCTAAAAGCACTGGCTGCTCTTGCAGAAGATCCAGGTTTGGCTCTCAGAACCCACACGGTAACTAACAACCATCTGAAACTCCAGTTCCAGGGAATTCAACACCCTCTTCTGGCCTCCACAGGCACTGCACAGCACAAGGGCACTTATATACATGTAGGTAATACTCTCATACACATAAAATAAAAATACTAAAGAAAATATTTTGATCTTCCTAGCAACTCTATGAGAGGAAATGTGTAATTATTTTATACTTAATTCACAAATGAGAAATCTAAGGTACGGCTAGATTAAATAAGTTAAATAAGCTGCCAAGTCCTTACTAGCCTAGCCCTAAGTTTTGCTTCAAATCACTATTCTACAACAGCATTATGAATTTATTTACTTTCCAACCACTTTAACTCCATTTTTTCATTAAAATACACAAAATACATTTAAGAAAGAGAAAACTGAACATATATCAAGTTAAAGTAACAAGAATGCTATTGATAAAAATTATTTATGGCTGTCAACCTTAATTCACCAATAAAAATAAGTAAGCCTGACATGGTGGCAAATGATCTCTATGAGATCAAGGACACCCTGGTCTACATAGCAAGTTACAAGCCAACTGAAGCTACAAGGGGACCCTATTTCAAAAAAAAAAAAAAAAACGGCAAGTTGTTACTCTCTCAGTTCCCTAACATGCTAAAGATGTTACACATATTGTAGCCCATTAAATGGCACAGCTTATTAATTGCATAGAAGAATTATTCCAAGAAAGCCCCAAAGCTGTAGCTTTACCATAAGGCTAATTCATCAGTTTTATCACCAGTTGGAAAGCCTCAACAAGTACATTTTAAATCATAATGAAAAAAAAAAAGTACATACAGGTTGACATATAAACCACAAGTGATTATTTAAAAATCAACAGCATACAAATACCATAGCAAATGAAGATTCTACAGTCTAGCCATTTATAAAGGGCTCTGATTTCACAGGATTTCAGGATTTCTGATCCCAAGAAAACATCGTGAGAAATAAGCCCCAGAGGTCAACTCTTCCATCCTCTTCACTAGCGCTTTCCAAACAAAGCACTCCCAGGATAACATGACTCTCACTCTGACTAAATGTGTTAGCTTTTGGAAGAAGATAAAACACCACTCTGACAGAGACCTTTAAAACACAGAAAATGTTAATGAAAGTCCCTTCACACTCCTGTCCTTCCTGATTATTCTGAGAGAGGATGCACTTAGCAGTCTGAAGCTGTTTTATGCAATGTTTAGCAAATAACGGATACTTACTGAAATAGCAAACTTTATCTTGCTGTAATTCAACAATAAATGAGCTGACCAGAGCAGTCAAGTCTATTTGCTCTCTGACCTACTGTGGGATGTCTTTTTTGGACACCATCTCCAGGATCCTGAAGCAACTGAAGCACCCACAACCCCTTAATAGCATCAAAACTTGTTTTAAAAACTGAGATAGTCAAAACTGCATTTATATTTAACTCATTATGCCGAAGAGGATGACTCAGTTTGCCATTTCTCTCCCTTAGTTCTCTGTACTCAACCTGTCTCCCTCCCTCCTTACAATACTACCTAAATCCAAATCACAAGACCAAGTGGCAACATGTCCACAGAAAACCCACCAAAGGTCCTCATAACACATATTGTGCCATACCATTCAACCGCTACAATTTCCAGTGACATACTAAAAGTCCTGTTTTAAAGGAGTTCAAACACATTTTTATCATTTATTTCAAACTAAAATTAGACATTGCATATTATGGTTTTAAAAGGCTTACCGTAATAAGACAACTAAAATTAGACCACCACATCAGCATACAAAAGACACTGCTGCACAAATAATGCAGCAATTTAACACTCACAGCCTCCTGCAGGGAAGGCACCCTTTCCTTCAACAGGGCCTCTTTAGAGAACTGTACTGTGCTACCAAAGTGATTACCAGGGCACCAACATGAGGTGAACAGAAGGCAAGGAACATGCTGTGGTCAGTAGTCCTAATTGGTAAATCACATGACATAAAGCAGACACAACTGGCTACTAATTCAACAAATGAGAAAAAAATGATATCTGGAAATAGTTCTCTCCTTTACTGGAGGGGCATGAGTCACGCTCCAATAAGCATGTGTTTCCATGCCATTCAATGCAAGAAGGGAGAGAACAGGCACTTAACAAGGGCATTGTTGGTTTTCCAACATCGCATGGATTCCTACCTGAGTCATTAGGAATAAAGAGGATTCCAAAAAGAACTGAAATAGGCACATTTCAAAAAAATAAGTAAAAATGTAATAAAATAACTTCTATAAACAACAAGAGCAAAAAGCTTTCCTGCTGTGGCATGAGCTTGGCATTGAAGGCTCACATACACCAAGACCACGTCTGCTATAGAGCTTGATGCCATTTATCGGGGTTGGAGAGATGGCTCAGCAGTTAAGAGCACTGACTACTCTTGCAGAGGATCCAGGTTCAATTCCCAGCACCCACATGACAGCTAAGAGCAGTCCTTAGCTCCATTTCCAGGGGAATCCAAAGCCCTCTTCTGACCTCCGTAACAATGCATGACACAGGTACACTCACGTACATGCAGGCAATATACTCATACACATAAGATGAAAATAATAAATAAAATATTTTTTAAAAAGACTACATGATGCTATTTATAACAATGGACTTATCCATGCTGAGGGTGTCCACAATCCAATAGATAAATACTGGTATCTGGAGGGTGTGCATGCCCCTAAGCACTAGCACAAGTATAATACCCAGTAGATAATCAGCTTTACCAATACAATCACAGAAGGGACCTGTGAGCTACAAAGTCTATCATGAGCACATGAAAACCACCCTCAGTCCCAACAGGCATCCCCAAAATAAGACAGTATGACTTTGAGAAGAAAGAAAGATCTTACATTTTAGGTGAAGGTAAGAGCCAGATAAGCATGTATTGTATGAATCTAATACCAATATCATGAACATGTGGAAACATTTTCCAAGAATGTAAGAATTTTTGTTATGATGTTTTTGGATCTGCAAGTAAATGGCATGCTTGTAATTTCCATTCAAACATCTTAAAAGGTGTTAAAATTAAGTCACTTGAGGACAGTTCTTGGTCTCAAATGGCCATACTCTCTAAAACTCTCTTGACTGGAAAACGAAACATTTATACCTCTACTTCCCCTCTTGGATTCTCTTTCAACCACATAAAGAGATAGTTAATATACCGAGAATATTAGCGGTACACTGAAGAATTCCTGAGATATCTTCAGTTTCCTCCTTGGTGGAATGGTCTGCATAGGAGCATCTGTTAGAGATGTTGTGGAAATTCTTTTCTGCATCCCTATAACTAAGAAGAAAATAAAATTAGCATGTGGAAATTTTTCAAAAACATTTGCAGTTGCACTCATCCAGACCAAGCACATACATCCTATGCTTTCTGGGTAATCACTCTATAAATAACTGATTCTCTTTGGTTTTCACCCAACCTAAGTATAATTTTTCTCTCTTTCCTCTCTCTACCCTGTATCGTTTTCCCATCTCCCTCCCCAGGTAAAGTACTCACCATTTTCCCCATTTCTCTCTTGACAATGGGTTGTGTCCTCCTATCCCCCCACTCTCCTGCCCCCCTCCATGGCTCTTTTCTCCTTTCCTGGCTCCTATGCTTACATCAGGATATGTACTCACATCTAGGCTCTTTTCTCCTTTCCTGGCTCCTATGCTTACATCAGGATATACACTCACATCTAAGGATTTGGAGCTAGGATCCACAAATGAGAGAGAACACGCATCATTTGTTTTTCTGAGTTTGGGCTACCTCACTCAGTACAACAGAAGACTAGTTCCTATAGTGGCAGAAGGTACTAGGCATGCTTCCAAGGGAGAAAACTAATCAATGGTCCTACCCAGCTATAAAGCTTATGAACGACAACAATATCCAGCCCAGCATATTATCTTTATTGGTTCAATAGTGACACTTTTGTATTGGGGGTAACCAACAGCTGTCTATCTGGACTTAAGGCCTGTTCAATATGAGGGAATCCATGTATGGTACTATAAACATGGCCAACTACACATGGTTAGAGAGGTCATAGATCCTAGAGAAAAACCTACTACTGTTATTTTCCTAGACCAATGTCATTTCCTACTATATTTACTATAGTCTAAATATGTATTCTTATATTTATAAACAAGTGTAGCTATCAACACTCATCAAAGAAGCTTCTTTCTGAAACATGGGGACTATTATAAAGTTTCATAACTGGTCAAACAGTCTAAATACGTATTCTTATATTTATAGACAAGTGTAGCTCTCAACTCATCAAAGAAGCTTCTTTCTGAAACATGGGGACTATTATAAAGTTCCATAACTGGTCAAAATGCAGAGAATACGTGACAGTGAAGTGCCCAGCCCTAGAGATGAATTTACAATGCAACCTCTATACCTAAGGCTTGGGGAATATCATGGAAGAGGGGGCAGAAAGATTGTGATTGTAAAAGTCAGGGGGGCAAGACACCTGTTAATGCATTCTAGACGCGATAGAGTAGCTACACCCGTGAAATCACCACAGTATGGTAGCCTAAACAAGAGCTGCACAATGACAAAAGCAGTTGACATGTCAATATGGATGGGGGAAATTTCAGAGTCCCACTTTAAGATGAAGAGCTAAAAGCAACCAGTGGATGCTGAGGGAGAAACAGGTCTCTCCAAGAAGTAGCTCCCTGAGAGGTTATCTAATCCCAAGTGGGCATTCCCTAAATATATATACACACTAGCACTACTAAATGGACCCAGTACATTATATATACCTCTATACATTATATATTGTGTATATATCAACTATGTATATTTATAAATGTATGTTTATATATAATAATCAAAGAAGAGAGGAAACTATGAATGAGTTAGGGGCATGGGAGGAGTTGGGGGGGGACTGGGAGGGGTGGAGAAAATGCGAATATTATACTCATGTCTGAAATTCCAAAAAATGAATAAATAAATAAATAAACTGATTTTTTAACCATAATTCTGGCATAACCCACCATTCCCATCAGCATTAACAAGGCGGACCTACACCTGGAGGCAATAGTTAATAAAAAAGCTGTTTGTGGGAAGAAAACAAATGATGAGAACAAAAATGCATTTCAAACAAAAGATCTGAGCCTTTTATGGCTGCTGGTAATTTCTTTTCATGAGGAAAATGGAAGAAATAATGCGGATGGCACTTGAGCACTGAAAGTGAATAGACCATGACCTCTGTCACAGTAGAGAGCATAGCAGTGTGGTGTATGAAAACATAAACACAGTCTATGGAGCCTGGCAGAATTTGATCATGGTCTTATTATCTTCTACCTATAACCTTGTGCATGTTACCTGATCTATCTGAGTAACCTTCCTCCCATAGATAACCATGGTCCCTCCTATAGTGCCTACGAGGGTCTAAATGAGCAGAGCCAGTATATGCATAGGTAGGCTGGAATGTTCCTAGTTGCCTCTGAATGAGTAGAGAAGCATCAGACCTGAGAACAATGGGAGCCAAATGTGTCATGTTCTAGAAGGGTCGCCAAGAAGACCGACTCTCCTTCAGAATGTAAGAGGTGACCAAACAGCCACTACCGCTGTCACTTCACCACTGACTCAAAGAAGCAAAGCAAGAGAAGGAAGTTGAAGAGAAGTCTTAAGAAGACTGAGCAGTTGCTCTGAGAGAACAAGATGTTGGGCTTTGTCCTCTCCCCCGAGATGAAAGAACAGGAGTATTCCCTAAAGAAGCCCAATAGGGGAAGAGTATCCCATCGCTCATAAACACGAGAGTTGGGTATCTCCCCATAAGCATTTGCTGAAACAGTGGATCTCCTCGCCATCTCCCATATACAAGAAGACAACTCTGGAAAGAGTAAGCTACACAAAAAGGAAATAAAACAAAATTGGTAGCAACCAGTAGCTCACTGTTTGATAAGGCAATATGAGTTTCTTGTGACCTGGGGAGATGCTACTGAAGGCAAGAGCCTGAACTTGCATTTAGAGACAAGTGTAGCTCTCTATAGACAAGTGTACGGTCATCCTGCTACCTTTCAGTGCAGAGGCTAAGGGTAGGGGAAACACTGTAAGGTACAGTCCTCAGAAGCAGGAGCAGAGGCATCTGTGGGAACCTTATACATACACCCCACTGAAGCCGTAACAGCTGAGATTGAATTGCAACAACCACCACAGAATGCCAACGGCTTCTCCACTTTCCATGTCACTCAAAAGAGAAAGGAACTGGGATCAGAGTGGCCTGGGGAAGAGAAGAGCAAACCCCATCATACCCTCGACATTACAAGTTCCTCAGGCCGAGGCTTAGTCCAGGCAGAGAGGGAAGAAAAGAGATTAGATATGAGATTAAAGATTGAAGCTGACCTGCAGCGGGATTTATAAGACACAAAGCAATCTGTATATACAAGCAATCTATCTATGTGAGTGTCAAAAGGAGGAAGTAAAATGGGTTCATGTTTGTACATCTCAATGAGACGATACTAACTCATTAACAAACAAACCAGTTAAGTAAAATGCTTACTACAGCTGGTATGATGCAGGATCACTCAGTGAAAGGAAGAATGGAGAACACAGATGTTAAACACAAATAAATGCAGCATTATTTTAATTAAAATTTGTATTTAAAAACCTAAATTATTTATTTTACATTTTAATTGAATTTTGTATATTTCATATAGAACATCTCAATCAATCTTAATCATCTATATACCCCCTTCCCCACTGGCACCCTCCCACAAGCCCCGCCCCCACTGGAATTCATACATTCTGTCTTTTGTGTTAAGGCCTACCGTGTCAAGTTAGTATCCCCAGATGTTCCTCAATACATGTTCATCTACTGAGGTCTAGTCAAACTTTCAATAGTCCTTCACTTTAGGAAGATCAGCTCTTCCTCACCCAGCAGTAATCAGTTGCCAATATTCTTTCAGTTAAGATAGGGGTCTTCTGTCCGTTTCCCCAGTTCTATGTTGGGGTTTTGTTTGCTTGAGTTTTAAATGGTTAAATGTAGAATTATTCTTAAATCAAGTTACAACCATTTTATTGGCATCTTAAATTAACAAATATTTCTAATTCACCGATCTTAGCTTTTATCTGACTTGGTTTCTGTTGCAGAAGATATTGTTATTTTTATGAGCTAGATCAGTTTTTAGATAAGTTAATTTATGACTGTAAAAATCTGACCATAAAAAATAATCAATATATTTGAAGTTTGCTTCCCAGAATAATCAGGGCTCACCCAGTCTTAATTTTACTTCTAACACTCTATTAAAGTTAGTCTGGCTTAATTTTTCCTCAGTGATCAAAAAAGAAAGCAGAAAGTTGGTTGTGTAAACAAACACAGGGTCTACATTGATAATCAGATTACTAGATTTCAGCATTAGATGACTATAGGAAATGCTATCCCAGACTACAGTGAGTCTGGTAATCATCCTAAGTGTGATATTAGCACAACTATGCATATTCTGGGGAAAAAAAGCATAAAACAAATGGCCTGATTCTGAATTCATATTTATTACACTTCATTGCTTAAAATATATGATGGACCTCAGACACGTTTGCTTTCATGGTTTCCATGACAGCTTATTGAACAAATCTTTGCCTAACACCATAGTAGTCCACTGGTGTGAACTACACAATAGGGGTTCTACATTTTGGACATGAGCAAGAACAGTTGGGTCAAGTACTACAGAGATAGAAACTTAGGTTATCAAAAGGATCGAACCAAAATAATCCATAAGAAGAAAAGGACAGTTGGAGCATGAACTTGACACATCCAACTCCTGATGTCAAAAAACTGCTCCTTAACTTAAATAGCCAAAGAAGGAAGGACAGGACAGCGAGAGGACAAAAAGAAAGCAAAGAAATTAAAACAAGGATAGAAAAGTGTGATGCTAACAGTGGTGACAAGAACTCCACCAGCATGGGTGCTGACCCTTGGGTGTCAAGCATCGTGCTGCTTACTCCACATGTCTGTATGACAGCATATTCTTATCAAAAGATTCCATGTACGCTTCATTCCAACTTTGTTGACACTCTCATTTTTGAAATGATAAAGCTGAGGCTCAGTGATTCTAAGGAATCTTCCCGAGACTACTCAATAGTAGAATATGAGTTGAAATATAGTTAGTCTTACCAGGCTCCATCTTAAGCAGAATTGCTGCAAACAAAGGCACTGGAAAAGAATGCTACCCTAAACAGGTACCTCGCAACCATGAGATCCATGAAATACCTTAACTGAACCCTGCCTGTCTCCTACTCGCCCTTTCTGCTTCTCTCTGTTCTTTCCACCACACAGTGCTCAAAATGTAATCTGTTTC